GCTGAGTTATAGGCAGTTACGAGGAGATTAAATACAAACTTTCCGTATCGTGCATGGCTTGGACTGCGCTATCGTGTGTGATGACTTTTTCCAACTAGCCACTCCACCTAATCTCCGGGGACATCTCTTCAAACTGTATGTGCCCCAAGGACAATTGGATGTGAGGAAGTATTTTTTATCTAACCACGTCATGGTCTCGTGGAATAACCTACCTGTGGTGATCTTTATGTCCCAATCTGTAGAAACATTCAAGCACCGACTGAATATACATATGTTACAGCACAACGCGAACACACGACAGTTCCCCCGTCGCGAACAACGCAAACAATGTGACAAATTAACATTGAAAGACCAATGCACGATGTGGCTGTCTATATTTTTCTAACTGAAAACTTGTTACCATTCTTTCTAATTCTTGATATTTCGATGTGACAAATAGGGAGTTCAAAGGCGCAAGCTTATTTTTTCCTCAGATATGCTGCCTGACTGACTGATGTCATCATTCTCCCTCCTATTCTCTATCTTTCTCAGGTTATTTTCCAACTTTGCTGTCGATGTTCCTTATACACTTCAATCGTTATAATAATAATAACGATCACGAAATTCGCTAAAGGAATTCTTTATGGTGTTGACCATGTCATCCCCTCCAATCTGATGAATTCAAAGACTTACGTTCCATAAGCAGAGACTTCTGACATAGCTCTTGCCGTACAGCGGCATATCGGCATTCTACTTTGCAATTTCTAGCACGCCACCTCATGTGAAAAGACACAAACACAGAGAAAATTATACTGGAATGTCTCCCTAAGAGCTATACATGTTATGGAAAATTTAATATTCATGAGTATTTTGTTTATAATCTTCTGAGTTCAGTAAATGGAATCTTTTTTGCTAAAAATGTTTGATGCCACTTTAAAAATAAAGAATTTTCCTCTCTCCCTCGCTGTCACTGAGCACTTCGAATCCTTTTACGAAAGGGCAAAATAATATGCAGCTGTTGTTGCATACCGTTGAAGCTCTACCTTCAACCAAACTTTGAACTTCAGTTCCTCGTTTAACGTTGGTTCAATTCAAGGGGGCTATTTAATTGTTTAATTGTTTTGTTTATTGTTTATTTGTTCGTAGTTTACTTCTGGAGGCATGCTCAGTCTGCAAAAACTAATTTCGCCACCAGTTACTCGAATTTTGGCGCAATCCGCTAAAATGAGTTCGGTCCCAATGAGTAAATTTGACGATCGGCATATTGACTACGACAAACTTCTGCATAATCTGGCGTCAGCTAAGCAAACGTAAGACAGCGTCTTAGTTGCACTTTTCTTAGCTTGAATCGGCCGCTTACACTGACAGAAAAAGTTTTGTACAGCCATCTCGCTGACCCGAAAACCAAGGTAAAACATTTTTGCCCTATATTTATTTTCAGGATATTGTCCGGGGCTCTAGCTACCTTAATTTAAATCCTGACCGTGTAGCAATGCAGGATGCAACGGCACAAATGGCCATCCTACAGTTCATATCTAGTGGATTGCCTCGAGTTGCTGTTCCATCGACCGTCCACTGTGACCACCTGATAGTCGCTTTAAAAGGTGGATCGGAGGACTTGGCAGCAGCGGAAGTGTCGAATAAGGAAGTTTACGACTTCCTTTCCTCTGCCTCGGCAAAATACGGAATCGGTTTCTGGAAGCCGGGGTCAGGAATAATCCATCAG